GTCTTTAACAGATTTAACTTTAGTTTGTTGATCTTAAAATATTTATTAACAGACTGCAATGCTGAATTCATTTTAGATACAGCATTTTCTAAGTTTGAATCAAAACATGCAAGTAGGGTGTCATCTGCATACAAATTAAAGAAATCACATTTAACAAACAAGTTTATATCATTTAAATACAATATAAACAAAAGGGGTCCTAAGACACTGCCTTGAGGTACCCCAATATTGACATTAATTGCAGAAGAAGTAATATTATCAATCCTCACTTGTTGCGTTCTATCCAATAAGTAATCTTTAAACCATTCAAGAACATTTCCTCCAATACCATAGCCTTCTAATTTAGTGAGAAGTATATTACGATCAATAGTTTCAAACGCTCTTTTTAAATCAAGGAATACTACTACTACATAATTATCATTTTCCGATTCAGACCTGAATTTACAAAGTGAAAGTTGTAGTGCAGTTTCACATGGATACTTTTTACGAAAACCTGACTGAGTATTCATTAAGATTTCATTTTTATTAATGTGATCCATGACTTGATCATATACTACCAATTCTAATAATTTCTCAATGGGCGGAAGTATATTTATAGGTCTAAATTCACCCGCCTTAATAGGATTATTAACTTTTGGTATTGGAACAACTGTACTGATTTTTAATAAATCTGAAATTTTTGATGATCTAAGAGAAGTATTTATAAAATTTAAGATAACATGACCACAAGTTACAAAAAACTCTTTTAATATTTTGGAGTTTAATATTTCATTAATGTTACTCCTATTATCTAATGACTTAACCATGACTGCCAAGTCACTTAGTGACAGTAACCGAAATTCATGTATACTAGGATACAAATTCTGATTATCATAACTCCATAGTTCTTCAGAGTCAATAGTTTAACTACCCAACAGCTTGTCAGAAGATGACTTACAGCACTGCTTCGCACAGTGGAAGATATGAATGGAACAAATGTTGGATAACATTAATTTACAATATTATATACTTAATAAAAAAAAAAGATGTCAACATTTTATTATAGTTTTTACTTACTTGTACACGCTGGTATTCCTTCTTCAAGTGCTATATTTCGGTTATTTGCATCGTCGCTAAGAAATACAAATTTCTCTTTAGGTAGATGTTCAATATACCATGAGCATGCCTTTCTTATGCATCGATCATTGTAATCGTTAATCAATTCACCACCTTCTTGTTTAATATATGTATCCCTATAAAAATAATACTGTTTTTTAATTTTCTGAAAATTATAAAATTATTTAGAAAATGATTACCAGTTTAGAAGAATGATTACTTGTAATTAATGTTATTAAAATTTATGTAATATTTAAGAATTTTATACTTATGATGGTCGTTGGTAAAGACATAGAAATGTCTACTGGGATTCTCAATAATGCTATGAAGCCTTTTGTATGTTGGTAAGCTACGATGTTTAACCTCTCTCAAGACTGTGTGCAATATAATTACATTTCCAAGTGTTGGTTCATCTAAAATGTCCATCTAGAACAAAATTTAAATCTGTACATAAAATAAGAAGTGGAACATAAGTCACATATACAAAGCGATTATTATCTGTGACACAGTCCAGTAAGCAGGTTATTATAAAATATATGAAAAAGATTTTTTATAAAATATATGAAAAAAGAAACCTCTTTCTGGGTTTTCTCCTATTTGTAGATGGACAACTTTCCATAGAAATATGTATTTAAATCGACTTAATTTTCATTACTTACTTCTATTAGTTTTGTAACCCTAAATTACTCTACGCTTATATATTTAATATATGGGACGAAAAAGAAAACCTTGAAGATGAAAGAGATGAGGTAAGTAAGTGAAACAAATCACCTGCAATAGATAATCTCCAGGCTGAAGTAGATAAAGATACCACCCAAGATGCAACAATGGTGCTACAACAAATTATAAAAAAAAATGGAGACACAAATCACTCCCTAGTGATTGGAATATTAAAATACTCTGCATATTACACAAGAAAGGTGATATCTTCAAATGCTCTAATTATACAAGGTAGGGTAATATATGGAGTTGTTATAATTTTATTCTTTTTTATAAAACATAAAGAATACAAAAAAACTCGATTATTTATTTTAATTATTGAAAGAAGACAATTGAAAGCTATGAGATTTTGTAAAACACAAATAGAATGTACTAAAAAAATCCGAAATTAGACCAACTGAAGAATTCAAAAGAGAAAAGTCAGCCACAAGATGCCAATACTGCATTCTCTGCTACACTATGAGCTCTGACATATAAATTGGGACAAATTAAAATATTTAACAAATTCAGGTGTTTGACTGTTCATTTATTATTATTTTTTAAAAATTATAATAATGTTAAATAAGCAATACTGTAAATGATAAATAATCACAAAATGTAATTAATCTTTTTTATACAACACATATAACTCATTAATATACTCGGTTCGTTATTCCCAGTCCGAACTGTCTAGTGAATTTCGTAATTATTTTTTTGCGAAGTTAGTTACTTTTCGACAGACTAAAAGTGGCTGGAAATTACTATACAACCAAGCACACATACTCATAGCCAATATTAATAGTAAACAAACTAAATAGTAAATAAAATAGAACTTTACGAATTACCATGTTATCTGCGCCATATAATAAATAGTTATGTTAAATTATAACATTTAAATATATGTTTTAAATATATACTACCCAAAATTTGATGGGTTTAGTATACACTTCTACTATTTAGAATAATTCTTCTTTTTTCAAAGAAAGAAGTCTGCAATAGTAGTATACTTGAGCTATTAATATTGAGAAGGAGGAATTGTTGTGTTGTAGGTTTCCGACAAAGAATCTGTCAAAATATGACTGGGCTAAGCGAATGGAGTATATCATGAGAATCATCAAAATAGGTAAAAATTAGTAACAACTAAATAGTGGGACAGTACAAAGTAGCTGCTAAAACCAACAGGATACAACAAGTAGGCTGTGAAAACAATGCAGCAGGACGATGGAACAAAAAGACAAAAGAGGGAATCTAATTGTTATGAAAAGGAGACCAAAAAAGTGGCCTCTGATGGCGGACATATCCGGAAATGCAAATATGCCAAATTTAAATTTCATAACACTTCACAATAATCATACAGTGGTGTTTTAATAATATACTTATACTTAATATAATATACTTATACTTATACTTAATATAATTATTAGTGAATTCTAAAACTGTTAATATGATATGATTTATTTAATGATTGTAATTATTGTAATTGGTATAACTGTAAATAAACTATTTATTTATTTATTTAATATATATACTTAATATACTTAATACATAATACACTTAAAGTACTTTTTTTAACACTAGAACACAATAAAGTTTTAGTTAAATAATAACGATAATAATCTAAAATGTGAAACAATTGTTAAAAAACTTCAATAGAAAATACAAATAATCTTTCATGTGACAGTTGGGACAAACAATAAAATCAGTAATTACATAACCCAACTAAATTTAATTTCTTAAATAATGGAAAAGACTCTCTTTACTTGTTTAATGTGCCCTCTTAAGATGGAACTTCCTGTCTACCTGTTTTGCCCCCACTACCTTTACATTCCCTCTTTTGTCTTTTTGCTCGATGAGCAGGATACTCCAACAAATGTCCCTATATTTTACAGTTAATTGTTTGTCTAATTGCGTGAATCAGTGCATTACTTCAATAAAGTAGTGAGTGTTATCTCTATATATCCCAAAAATTCATGAGATAGTGATTAAAAATTATTGCAGTAATAAAAACAATTTGTGAAGTGGCATAAAAACTTAATATTCCTAAAACTATAGTGTGGGATATAACTAAGCATTATAGGGAAACATGAAATACCTTAGGTAAGAGCCCAGATCATCCAAAATATATTGGTCCTGAGTAATTTTAAGGGATGAACCAAGATTTGACATATGAGTTGGTGATTATCGAAAATAAGTTATTCACACTAAGATTAAGGTTCTTCATAAGGACTGTTTTAAATGGACTGTAAAATCTGTTTTTAAGATAAATCATCCTTCTATATCCAAATATTTAGTTGCCAATAAAATAAACATTCTATTTACACAGTATTACATTAAAAAATATTAGAAAAAAATATAAACTATCAACTATCTGAATTATGCATGTATTTTAGTTTGTCAAAATATATAGTTACCTATTAGGGCTCGTACTGCATACAATCTCCTAAGGATTATTAAATTTTACAGTGTAGTAAAGCATAAAATAAGCTGTATTTATTTATATCTTGCAGTTTAAAACACTTGTTTAAAACACTATTTTGTTTTGCTACTGAAGTTTTTCACAGTAGATATGCTATGTTTAATAGGGAAGATGTTTAAACTACATACAAGTGCAAATACAATGTATACATCTGACTTTAGTTTTATATTTAAACTAGTTTACTTACCACAAATAAATGACAATCACGTCTTACCTGATCTAGAATGATGTTGGTGTCTAGTATTAGAAAATGGTTAAAGTCAAAGAGAGCACAGTTGTTTTGATGGGTTGTACTTAGGTTTGAATCTACAGGACGGCATTTTTCACAGGTTGAAATTCCACAAAATATATCGTCTCGTATGTAATGTTCCCTAACATTCTGAAAATATAATGGCATGCATTAAAATAATATGAGAATAAAAACATGTATTATACACTCAGTTACCTTTAGAAAATGACCAATTTTTGTCTTTTTAATAAATGCTTTAGTAGTAAACATGTTTTGGTGAATTAATATTTATTTTTTTAACATAATCTATTCATTAATCATTGTAAATAATCCGTTTTAAAATGTTAGCAACACAACAGCTTTGTACTTGTTGTAAAATAAAACATACTATATTATTTATCTATGAATAAAACTTTTGTGAGGTTATGACAAAATACAATATAAAAGAAAAGAGAAGCAGAAGTATCAGTTTTACTCATTTTTACTAGGTTAGGTGTCTAATAAATATTGATAACCAGCCACGTGACATTTTCAATCAACATCAAATCAAAATATAACCAATATTTTTTTGGGGATATTGGTCCAAAGTCTGGAATAATCAATTTCTTTTAGAAAAATGCTAAACTTTTTTCGAAAAAGGTCAGCTGATAAGGAACTCGAGAAACCTAAAATGTCAAACAATAATTGCCGCGATATTTCAGAATTAAAAGATATAATTTATGGTAAGCACATCAATACTATGGCCATAGGGATTTAGTACTTTAATTTAAACATTTTAGATTTAATAAGAACAATAAAGGATCCTGAAAAACCAAGTACTTTGGAACAACTAGAGGTTGTGTATGAAGACGGAGTTATGGTAAAATATTGTTACATAAAGTTAATTCAATATGCAAATTAAATTTTTATTTAATATTTTGATATTCCCATTAAAGAATTTTGAATATTAAAATGTTATGTTACAAATAATATGTAACAAAAATGTTAACAAAGAATTTTGAATTTGTAATCCTCCAAGGAACTAGATGTCAAAGTTGGATTTCTATTAAAAAATCTTAATTCTAATACATAAAAAACACATAATATCACTTTGAGGTAAACTAATTTAAAATTGAAATTTCAGATATATCCTCACAACTATAATATACATTTTTTATTAAAATTTCCTTAATTTTACTTTTAAATTGAGTTGTGGTAAAATCTTTTAATTTATGATACATCTTTATTTTTTTCAAATATGTAACCTAATATACAAAAAAAGTTCTAACTTAAATAAATTATTTACATATAAACAAAAAAAATCAATCAATAACAAATTGAAATCAATAACATTAACAAAAAAAATCAATAAAAATATACCAGAATACTGTCTACATTCAGTCAGTTCCAATAAAGGAAAACTTTAAGCTGTCATTGAAACTTTGGATCCAGGTGTACCCCAAGGAACTTCACACTTGTCACATCTGCATTTCAGCCTAAGTATCCCTAAGAGCAAACTTGGTCTTGTTGGCCTTGCTTCATTAAGCAGGAGCCTGTTAACACAGAACCACTCTTTGATGTCCAACAGTGCGGACCTGGAACCCCTAAGGGAGTCCTCAAGTGTGTCAGCTGTAAAGGAGACAGTGGTGTCATCAGCGAAGAGTGTGTATGTAGCATTTGATTCTATGCTTGTAAAGTCATTAATATATATCCGAAATATTATGGGTCCCGGGGCAGAGCCTTGAGGAACACCAAAATTAACAACACTCTCCCCTGACAACACCTCAAACACCCTTACAGATTGTACCCTGTTCTCTAGGTATGATTGGATCAAGTTGACACTCTGTGGACAGAAATTGTACCTCCGTAATTGTTTCAGGAGTATCCCATGATCAATATGGGATACTCACAGTCACAAAACACAACAGTGCCAAATTGTGTCCTATGAAAGGATTCCAAGATGTAGGACATTAGGTCAAGAATGCAAAGAGTTGTGTTCCTTTCATTCCTGAAACCAAACTGTGATTCTGAGAAATATTTGTTACCTTTGAAAAACTTGTGATTTGCAAAGTCATGGCCTTTTATACTAATTTAGTGACAACTGGGACCAATGCACTAGGTCTATAATTCTCAAGGATGGCAATCTCCCTTTTTTTAAATATGGGTGTTATAATAACCCTTTTTAGAACTGAGGGAAATGTATCCTTTTTAAAGCATTGATTTAAGACACACACCTACACACTTGATAAGTGTGTAGGTGTGTGTGTTAAGACTTATGATAATATTTTTTATCATCTTAATAATGTAACATTTAAGCCATATATATCACAACTTTTATTGTTTATTAATATGTCAATGATATCCCAGGTCTGATTGAATGATACTTTAGAAAAGGAAAAGCTCTTTCAGGGATTTACATTGATCTTATTCAAAAACTCTAGATTTAATTCAGGTATATGTTTTATTAAGTTGTGGGCAATTTGACAAAAATGATTATTTAACTCATCTGGAGTGATGTTATGAGCCTAACGTAGAGCCTCAGATATTCCTCATTGTCTATTTATGCTGTTCCACATGGTTTTTGGAGGATTTCGTGAAATCAAGATTACCCTGTTATTAGAATTAATTTTTGCCTGTTTTATTTCATTTTTATAGTTTTTTTAAATCATTTAATATTTGTAGGTTGTTTTCAGTTTTATGTTGTCTGTAGTACTCACTTCAAAAATTGACATGTTCTATTACTGCTCTTATTTTGCTTGAGAACCATGTGATTTGCCCAGATTGGTCTGACCTTACTTTATAGACTTTTTGAGGAAAGGATTCTGAGAAACATGATTCAAGAAAATCCATATACTTATTAAACTTAAAATCTATAGAATTGTCATTGTCAGAAACAAATCCGCAGTTTGGAGTAAAAATTTATTTTATAATTGGCTATCCCAGTGTGACGATGTCCTCGCCGTTCAACAGTTAGAACCGTGGGAGTGTCAAGGTTGGCGCAGCCACCACTACAGCAAGATGGTCAGTGGGGTTCGGAGCGGCTATTTAAGACAAGTAAGTAATGGAATTCATCAGTCTTTGGCTTAGCGCCTTAGGCTCCTCTCTTCGCCAGTGTTCTGAACTGGCGAGCCCACCCAGACGGAGCGCAGAGTTAATTTTTATGTTTATTTTTATACGGCATAGAATTTATTTTATTTTTATTTATATTGTACATACATTAGACCAATAGATATATTTTTATTTTAACCTGTGTTTTACTGAGTCTGTCGTCCTGAAAGAGCTACCCGTTACAAATTGGCGCCCGAGAAAAATTGAGGATTGAAAAGTTACTAAAAATTAGTAACATGCCGACAGATAAAGACACAGACTCAGTAACAGGTACGTCCTGGATAAACCGACTTTGCAAAGAGGAATTGCAGAGCGAGGCCGAAAAATTCGGCTTAGATTCCAAGGGAACCGTCGACGAATTGAGAGTACGACTCAGGACATATTTTAAAAATCGCGAGGAAGCGACAGGAGCAATGCAAAAAGAAAAAACTTCCAAGGGAACAGAATCCGACACACTGGCCCAGGAAATTTCGGGTATCCGAAGACAATTACAAGAATTAACAATAACGAAACAAATGGGGCAATCAGAATTGCTAAATCAAGTACGAAGGTGGAACACACACTTCGACAAGAAACATTCGGATGCAATAGAATTCTTAGAGAGGATAGACGAATTAAGCTTGGCCTACGAGATCGATAAACAAGATCTATTAAGAGCATTACCAGAGTTATTAGGAGACCACGCTTTGTTATGGTACAGAAACAATAACAAAAATTGGAAGTCATGGGCAGATTTCAGCGAAGATTTTAAAAAAGCTTTCTATCCCAGAGGATATTTGCTGCAACTAGAGGAGCAAATCCGAAACAGAAAACAGAGACAAAATGAGCCGGTGGATAGATATATCACGGAGATTCAAACACTAATCAGACGAGAAGGATCGTTTTCCAGAAACCAAGAACTCGAAAGGATATACAAAAATCTGTTACCAGAATATAAGCTTTATGCTCGCCGCCGAGATTTTGAAAACTTAGCCGAATTACAAGATTTAGCCCAAGAATACGAAGCTCTAGAAGACGAAAAGACCCGATCAAATCAGAGTTGCCGTGGAAACTGGAGACGCACGGACCAAGCAGAGTACGATGCCAAAACGACATGCTTTAGATGCAAGATGCCAGGTCACATCCGTAAAAACTGCAAAAACCCGTGGAAAAAGTTTTGTTCGCGTTGCGGCAGAGAAGGGGTTTACAGCAACGACTGCTGTTTTAGGCGTCAGGGAAACGAATTACAGACTGGAGAAACAAGGAGTCGTCCCAGTCTGTAAAGCAAGATTCGACTCCATTCGTTTTCGCCGTTACACAGCCAGCAAGCAATGACATTCGGCTGTTCGCATCGCTGAAAATAGGGCAAAGAACATACAGAGCGCTCATCGACACAGGAACCACTAAAAATTACGTCGGGGATAGAATAGCTAAGACATACAAAGACTCTCTAGATAGCTACAGCGGGAGAACAAGACTAGCAAATGGAGCGTCAATGGAGCTTAACCAGAAGTTGACGATTGAATGCGAGATCGATAGGTTACAAACCCGACAAACATTCATAGTAATGCCAGGGTTGACGGAAGATGCCTTACTAGGAGTGGAATTCCTTAGGAACCATTCTATCGAACTTAAATTCGATAAACATACGACCAAACAATACGTACAACATCAAGAAGAGGCATGTAATACTTTAAAAGACTCCACCAAAAATACAGAGCTAGAAAGGTTTCTAAGAAAAGAACTAAGGGAGTTTGAGAACATAACAGGACCCACTAACTTAATAGAACACGAAATAAAATTGAAGACAAAATGCGATCCAGTCAAACAGCCTTATAGACGACACAATCCCGCAATGCTGCAGATCATCAACCAAGAAGTAGACAAGATGTTAAAAGAAGGAACCATCGAACCCTCCACAAGTGGTTGGAGTTCACCGATTGTACTAGTTAGGAAAAAAGATAACTCGTACAGGTTTTGCATTGACTTTAGAAAAGTCAACGAACTATCAGATAAGGACGCATATCCGTTACCCAGAATATCGGAAATTCTGGATAGACTTAAGGAAGCAAATTTTATATCAACCCTCGATTTGAAACAGGGATATTTTCAAATACCCCTAGAAGAAACTAGCCGCCCAGTGACAGCATTCAGCGTACCCGGAAAAGGCCATTTTCAGTTCAAAACCACCCCATTTGGACTGCATTCCGCAGGAGCCACTTTCCAACGCCTACTGGATAAGGTAATACCTCCTGATATGGAATTCGCGTTTGCCTACTTGGATGATATCGTAGTAATATCTAAAACGCTCCAAGAGCATTTAGATCACCTACAGGAAGTCTTCCGAAGACTGAAAGAAGCCAGGTTACAACTAAACTTTGAGAAATGCACGTTTTGCCAGTCAGAACTCAGATACTTAGGACATGTGGTTGGAGCAGAAGGAATAAAAACTGACCCGGAGAAAACCAACGCTATAACCGGACTCACAGCACCGAGAAATGTGCGTCAACTCCGCCGGTTCCTAGGAATAACATCATGGTACCGCCGATTTATAGAGAACTATTCGACAATAGCAGGACCGCTAAACATGCTTCTGAAGAAGAAGATAAGATGGAAATGGACCGATAAGCAAGAAAACGCGTTTGAAGAGCTAAAATCAAAACTTACATCGGCCCCAGTATTAGCATGCCCCGATTTTTCAAAAACATTTTACCTGCAAACAGATGCGTCGAACTGCGGACTTGGAGTCGCACTAACACAGAAGTACGACGGCCAGGATAAAGTAATCGCATATGCTAGTCGAACCCTCACACCAGCCGAGACAAAATATTCCACAACGGAAAAAGAATGTCTATCCATCGTGTACGGGATAAAGCAAATGAGGCCATATATAGAAGGATACAATTTTAAGGTCATATCAGACCACCAGTCCCTCAAATGGCTGAAAAACCTTAAAAACCCGTCAGGTCGATTAGCCAGGTGGAGTTTAGAACTGCAACAGTACGATTTTGAGGTAATATATAGAAAGGGAGTCCTCAACAAGGTAGCAGATGCTTTGTCACGACAACCACAGGAAAACCAGAGCGAAGAACCAGAGTTGGAATTATTAGCATCAGAACTGGAATCATGCAGTTGGTACGATAATTTATATAGAAATGTACTCCAGAACCCAGACGATTTCCCGGATCTACAAATAACAAACGGGAAGTTATATAAACACATTTGGAGCAGCCGTAATTTAGCCGACCCAGAGTTTAATAACCCATGGAAGTTATGCGTACCAAGATATAAAAGGAAAGATATTTTGGAGGAAAATCATGACTCGACCACAGCAGGCCATTTAGGAATTGCAAAAACAATTTGCCGAATAGCGCAAAAGTACTACTGGCCTAAGATGTTTAAACAAATCGCAGACTACGTTAGAGCTTGTACGAAGTGCCTCCAATATAAACCGTCTCAAATGCAACCAGCCGGGAAAATGCAACCGTCCACTGTAGAAAAGCCTTGGCATACCGTCTCAGTTGATTTAATGGGACCATTCCCAAGATCTGCAAAAGGAAACATTTTCTTAATAGTCGCGCAAGACCGGTTTACCAAATGGGTCGTCGCCCAGCCAATAAGAGCAGCATCTACGAACTCCATCATCGACACTTTACGATCGAAGGTAATTATGCAGTTCGGTATCCCGACGAAAATCATTTCGGACAACGGCGCGCAGTTCACAAGCAGCAATTTTAAGGCGTTCCTAAAGTCCTATAACATAAATCACATTCTAACACCGCCGTACTCACCTCAATGCAATCCAGTAGAACGAATGAACAAAGTACTGAAAACGATGATAGCCACTTACGTAGAAGATAACCATAAAGACTGGGACAAATTCATACCAGAATTCTGCTACGCCGTAAATTCGTCAAGACACGATTCAACAGGGTTTTCACCAGCGCTCCTTAATTTCGGAAGAGAATTAGACACAACAGAGGCGACAAACGTACAAGATATAAAGGGGTATGCAGAAAACTTAAACAAGTTAGAAGCGTTAAGAGAACTGGCGAAAGTGCACATGGAACACGCTTTCGAGGACCAAAAGAAACATTACGATCTAAGACGAAGAGACTGGCGACCACATCCAGGAGATCGAGTCATGAAAAAGGAACACCATCTATCATCGGCTAGTGCAGCTTTCACCAGCAAACTAGCGCCGAAATACTCAGGGCCATACATAGTAACATCAATAATATCACCAGTAATAGTAAAACTGAAATTGGCCGATAGTAGTAGCCGCAAGCAGACAACGGCACATGTAAAAGATTTAAAACCATGGGAAGGGAGCAATGTTCCTGCAGAAATGGATGGATAGAATGGATGGAAATATATGGCATGACAATACTGTAGACGCCATATACAAAAAAAAAAGAGGTATGTTACTTTTTTTTTTCCAAAGAGAAGGGGGTGTGACGATGTCCTCGCCGTTCAACAGTTAGAACCGTGGGAGTGTCAAGGTTGGCGCAGCCACCACTACAGCAAGATGGTCAGTGGGGTTCGGAGCGGCTATTTAAGACAAGTAAGTAATGGAATTCATCAGTCTTTGGCTTAGCGCCTTAGGCTCCTCTCTTCGCCAGTGTTCTGAACTGGCGAGCCCACCCAGACGGAGCGCAGAGTTAATTTTTATGTTTATTTTTATACGGCATAGAATTTATTTTATTTTTATTTATATTGTACATACATTAGACCAATAGATATATTTTTATTTTAACCTGTGTTTTACTGAGTCTGTCGTCCTGAAAGAGCTACCCGTTACACCAGATAGCCAATTGTATAATACATGTTTACCTTTTTCAGATATAGGTCGAATAAGCCTCGGTTGTTCTTTGTAACCTATTTTCTGATTTGCAAACCCAACAACAATTTGCCCTCTGTGATCGGAAAACCCCACATTGATCACCTCAGTCGAGAGGAGTGTCACTACAGAATTCAAAAAGACATTGTCATTGCAGTTATTGCCTCTAGTTGGAGTATATATAGTTTTAACCAGATTAAAATTCTCAAAAACATCTTGGAGCTTGTGGGTAGATGTATCTTCAATCAGAAAATCAATATTGAAATTCCCAGCAAGGATTTGCTTGAGCGGGTTAAGTGTGCTTAGTATTTCCTCCATGGATACTAAAAAGGTGTCAAAATGACCAGAGGGGCTGTGGTATATAGCTATCAGAATCAGGTTAAAATCTTTAAGACATACACAACAATATTCATTACAAAAATCAATCAAAAATGAGTCATTACATACAACTTTAAAACAAATAGAATTTTTTTTTGCAAAAGTGTAAAAATTGCTAAAGGTTAAGCATCCTATGCACAGGACTAGAAGCAGTAGTAGTTTTTGAAAAGGGTTAGTGCGGTGGTGAAGAGGGATCGCATGAGTGTTCCTTGGTGTTAAAAGAACAAGTAGAATCTTGTTTCTTCCCTGCATTTATCAAAAAATTACCTGGATGTACGCTTCTATTAGCATATATATTCATTGACATTATTTCTACCCAAATGTGTTGGAAACTAAAGTATGTAATAAAGTTTTTAAACATATATCCTGGCTGATATTTACACATTTTATTTATTTTTGGAAGTTATAATTTTAGGAACTTCAAATTTTCCAATTTTTTAAACTTACCTTATTAAAATTATTCGGAAGCTATTTTCTTGTTTTATTTTAATATCATTTACTATCTTTAATGAGAATTAACCAAATTATAGACAATCATGTTATTAAATATATTCAGATATTCAAGTAATATGTCTCATTAGGGCTAAAGGATGTATATACTATTGGAAAATGTCCTTTTCTTGGGACACAGTTTTTGTGTTCACCTGATATGGATAAATACATTTGTCATGTGAATAGTGTAATGAATATATATAAACTTGGATGTCAGGTGGGATGTAAATCTTTCACAATAGTTATAAGTCTTTCACAGCACCTTAAAATAGGCTAATTTCAGAGTTTGTCCATTCCTTAGGCAATAAATTAAAAGTACCCAAACTTATTTTTGTTACTGTCAAAGAAGATAAGATGTCACCTAAATTAACAACTCATATTCATATTAATCACCAGGCCCTGGTAATATCCCAACTGAGCTACTCAAGTACAGTACAAGCAAATTATATAAGCAGATAGCCAGCCTTTACCAAAAATGTATTAACGGAGAGAGTATACCGGAGGAGTGAAGGACATCGTTTATCACGACAATACATAAGAAGGGAAGTAAAGATGTATGTGACAATTATCGAGGAATCGCAGTCCTTAGCACCATCTCGAGAGTTTACAGGAAACTCATCAAAAAGGGAGTGGAAGATAAATTCTGTGATATGGAAGCCGAAGAACAGGCGGGCTTTAGAGCGGGTAGATCAACTATTGACCATCTTTTTACTGTTACCTAGCTAATCGAAAAAAAAGTAGCATGAAATCAACCATCTCCTCTATGTAGACATTAAAAAAGCTTGATAGTGTACCACAATAAAAACTCTGGGAAGCTCTCGAGAAAAAAAATATTAGTGTAACCTTAATCAAGGCTGTTCAAGACTTCTACAAGAACAACACAAGTAAAATAAAGAAAGGCCAGGAGGTATCCAAGGGTTTCTATAAATTACTGTCAAAAATAAAATATATTTAGGCATGTAAATAAACAATGATGACAAATTAGACGAAGAAATTAAACATAGAATTAACCAGAGAAAATAAGGCAATTAAACAGTGTACTGTGGGACAAAACAATCTCCAAAGAAAACAAACACAAAATCTATAACAGCATTATAAAAAGCATTGTTACTTATGGAAGTGAGGTATGGCCACTGAAAGGAAAAAAACTTAAAATCATTAAAAGCAACAGAAATGCACTATTGAAGAAGAGTGGCTGGAAAATCTAGAATAGACTGAGATAGAAACAAAGGAATACGAGAAATTATGGGTGTTAAGCACAATATAACAGAGGACATCAGAATAAATCAACTAAGATGGTATGGACACGTAAAAAGAATGGATGAACACAGAATAACAAAGAAAGTATTCAACTGGACACCACATGGAAGAAGACAGCAAGGTAGGCCAAGATTGAGTTGGAGAAAAGGAATTATTAGAGATAAATTGAGACTGGAAATCAGAAGATGACGTAAAACGTTACAAACTGATTGATCGGTTGATTGACATTCATATTAATGATACATCCTCTGCAAAAATATTGATGTTCAAATGCTTGAAAATACAGACCATATTAAGCTGATAAAATCAAATAATGAAAACTGTACATTTAATTATTACATTAAGTAAATCAACTTTTTCTTTTATTTCTTCCTATTTTTGTTGTTAGTCTTAATTATAATTAACTGTTAATGCAGGTATATTAAAAAAATAGCGTATGCCATTCATTTATAATTGCTTTTAAAGCACTTGCAACGGTAAGGACAGTGCTTCGTGTCATGACATTAAACTGTATGCACTTTAAATGGTGTTGTCAATGTGCTATTATAAAAGTTAATAAAATTAAGTGCCTCATTTATATTGTAGGTTAAACACTCCAAAGCCAGAAATCTAAATATTGTAAGAATTGAATTTAATCCAACAATACCACATTGCTCTTTGGCAACACTAATTGGATTATGCATTAGGATTAAAGTAGAAAGAAGTATTCCTGAACCTATTAAATTGGATATTTATATAAAACATGGTGCACATACAACAGAGCAAGAAAGTAAGTTGCAACTGGTTTTCACATCTATTGTTTCTTCTTGTTGGCTTCATATTGGCGAGTATCACCATAGTAACTGTTCCGAGGAAACACATTTGGTTATTTTTGCATACCGCTATCAAGTTTTTATCCCATAATGTTCTTCCTGGAAGTGGATACTACTCTTTTCCTTATCATTTTCCAATAATCCATCTCACAATAAGCTTGATCCACTGACTTATTTATGCTTTATAGTTCTGTGAGCTCAATATTGTCTTATGTCTTCTGTAACTTGCTTTTTAAAAAAGGAAATTGTTTTACTCACTACATTTTACTGTTCTGATAAAACTTTATAAGTTCTATATATTTTCTTTTTCAGATAGCATTTTTGTTTGTGTTTGTGTTATTCGATATTTAGGTTATACTTGCTACGTGAGTCTTTGACGGATCCACTATAACTCTCCATCTTCTACGATCTTGCGCTTCCATTTATCATTTTTGTAGCCCAATCTAGGTAAGTCTTTGTTCCCCATGATTTCAATTAACAAATTAATATTGCTACATTTCTTTTTCTTCTCTATTCTAAGCAGAGATTAAGAGATAAGATTTCTTCTTATCAAGATAATGGCTCCAATATGGGTGCTGAACGTTTTCGACATTTTTCAACAATCGCCCTGTATCTCGCTAGTATGGGAAGATATTGATAATTTGATTGGACAATCGTTACTTTAACGAGAAAAGAAGTCATAACATCTTAACTAGTTTTTTTTTCTATCTCCTCTAGTTTTCGGTATACCCTACAAAACATACCAATTTGGAAAACCCTGTACATTATATTTATTTTTTATTATAAGTAAATGTTTTTTTATTTTTAGTAAATAAACAAATAAATGACAAAGAAAGAATAGCAGCCGCAATGGAAAATCCCAATTTAAAAGAAATGGTAGAAAACTGTATTGTAGAAGAAGACTGCTGATATTTTAAGTTTGACTTTACATATTTTAAATATTTATATTGTACATAGTTTGTATAGGCTCTATGGTTTTTAAAATTTTTATCAATAAAAAGTATTCCGGTTTATAGTAGTATTTTTGGATATTTTCAATTAATCTGGAAGGGATCTGGACATCTATGCACTTTTTTCCCCTTTTCTCCAAAAGAAAAGGCTAGTAAAGTTAAAACAGCCTACAGTTTTCTTAGAAAAAATTGTAAAAAGTCACTCTCAAAAAAGGCAAAAGGTCATATCGCCGTTATAATAATTGGTGTTAAATTTTTCACATTCGAAAAATTATGTCATTTTTTCGCTGTATTACTAACTATCATTCTACCACAATTTTAAAATAATTACCAGTCCAACCCTTGATAATACGCCCCATCCCATTAGAAATACAGCCAGTTGTAAGTTAGCAAAAGAAAAAGACGCTCTCTTGCCTGTTGCCGATCGTTAGGAACAGACGAACTCTCTCGCCTACTGATTTCCGCTAGGAGCAGACGTACCCTTCTCTCCCCTGTTGACTATCGTTAGCAACAGACATTGTCTCTTTCCCGCTTATAGTTAGGCGAAAAATACTGTTTTAAATTGTATACAGACGCAAATGTGCTCTATCTCGTGATCTCAGTGTTAGTACCGCAAGACACGTGTTCAAAAACCTGTAACCCGGACAGCTTCCTTGTACGAAGAACAACCGCGAGTGAAAGTCTATAAATACCGCGATTGTGTTTGCAGCAAGAGTATTGGTAAGACTTTTTATAAACTTTACTTACTATCATAAACAGTTTTCACAAAATAAAATTAAACTAAAAACACTGAATAGTACAAGCTGATTCATGAATTTGATATGTAATATTAAATAAAAAAAAATGGTTGAATGTTCACTACAAAACTTTCTTTGGCATATCCATAACTGCCCTATTCACATAAATCACGAACTAGAAATATACAAAATAGTATAAACGTAAACAAATAAACAAAACTTATAAATGATTTAAATTGTGCATATTGCGGCTAAGTTTAAAACGCCCTTTATGTAATATCAATGAGTTGAACATATTGAGTTAACGGACCAGCGATTGTTGTTTATTGGTTACAATTTCACGTCGCTAATTTCGTTATTATTGGAGATATCATGATGCCATGTGGACAAGGATTTTTTCAAAATTTTGAAAAAAATCAAAATATCTCGAAAATACTTTTCTTGGTATGACATTGTGCACAAATTTGATCTAAAATTTCATGTAGAATTCGAAAATCAAATGAAAAATATTAGGGTCTATTTAGATAACAAAGTTGATGTCTACTTCCAGTTTAACCGGAAGTGCTACATTCAGGACAACATTATATTTAAACTTAACGTCATCCAAAACCCACAGCTTCGTAATTTCAGATTTTTAACATAAAATTGTCCACCATTAGTTTCAATCAAAACTTTTTGTGCCCTACCCTGTATAGTATAAATATAGGATTTTATACGCACAATAAAACAAACTTTGTCTATTGCAAAATCTTTTTATTTGTTTAAATATGTGTATATAAAAATAACATATGGCAACATTTTATATTATATCAGAAACAAAAGTCAAATCGAGTAAAATTTTCGTCAACTATGGTTATTAATTCATGACCTTTTTATAAAAAAGAAAAACAATTAAAATGGATTTAAATACTCCATTTTATAATTTATGTGTGTGTTACATTAATGAATATAGAATAAAAATCGATTAAAAATTAATTATAAAAAGATAAATTTATAAAAAAGGCAATTCGTGCCTAAACAAACACTAAAAGTTAATTTGAATTTTTTTTCCAACAAAATGGCAGAAAGGTTAGTTAAATAATTCTTTTCGTACAAATTTTATGTAGTGTGTTTGATCCAGTAACCACAATTAAATAAATAATGAACAATGTGTCAATTTTAACATAATTTAAGATAAAATGTCTATATTTGTTATTCAAGCCAAAATAAATTTAATATCGTTATATTACTTGCTAATAAACGAAAATAAAATAATATTCCCATTGTTAAAAAAACACACATTTATAATTTACGATAAAAATGAACCAAGGTAGATGTTAGTAGTGGACATGTTGATGCATGTCTCACTACAACCAAAACGAAGCTGTGAGTGACTTCATCTTATAGTTGTTGCGTCAACAACAACATATAAGGAAAAATAAAAAGATGTATGTATAGAATATCTAGCCAGTAACAGTTTATCTCAAAAACAACATAGTTTGGATAGAACAAAATAATGTAGTTTATTGACAGTTGAGGAATGGAAGTTAGCGAAAGAATCTAGATACTGTCGTTATTTATCACCTAGCACGTGACATCGGTTGGCGCAAGGTTCCCTAATTTTTTTGTATCACACATTAAAAAAAGTTACTTCAACTTTTGGAGCGCTTTTGAAGACAGAACATGGAGGCGCAGATACAACTTTGCGCAATAGAACATATTATATAAGTGGAAAAATTATTACTCCAATGAAACAGTTCCATCTACAATGGGCTGGGCATGTAGCCCGGACACTAACAAAGGATCATAAACGCGCAACCGAGCGGTACCAGAAAACGTGGTAGACCATAGCTCAGCTGTATTAGACTGAATGATGGTGCTTTCAACTGGAAAACTCAAGCACAGAACATTCTGAACAGTAAATTTGCGAATGTCGAGGATCTCTAATGCTTTAGCTGCACTGACGATCATGTGAAAGCTAGTAACAGAAAAATAGCCGTGATTGTATACACACTACATTTCACCTTTACTAAAAATTAACATACTGGTATTATAAAAGTTTAAACATTTAGATATTTCAACTTACCATTATATAATAAATTTGTTACACATCATTACAAAAATAAAATAAACCTTAAAAGGTATACCCGTACAGGTTGATTTAAATTACATCGTTACGAAAATTTTACCCAATTTTTAAGTACACTTAAGAGCTAAAAACAACTAATGAAAATATTCTAACATTCACCTCTACTGTGCGAAGTTAAGCAAACCGCAGATCACACATTTCACCTCCAAATAAAATTTGCAATATGAAATTATTTTGTAAAACTATTTTTTTCTATTTATCGCATTCCTTTTGTTAACACAATTACATTGTACTGAGGAATCGTAAATATTAATTTTGGCAAAACCATTTGATTTGTGATCCACGGCAAGATTTTCCCTATATTCTGGAATGGGCATGAAAAAGCATCAGCAGAAACAAAATCTTTTATTATTTATTTGTTTAAATATATTTTAAAGCTGTCAATTCTTCACAATATAGCTGCCAAAGTGGCTTAAAAGACAAAAAATACAAACAAAAATTTTGCAATTAAAAAATTGACAGATTGTAGAGTAACAAATCAATTTATTTTAGATCTAATTAATGATACGAAGAGGAAATGTTGAAAAAAGCCGATTTTCCGGAGTTTTCATGTATGTGAACCAGATACACGGAAACTTAGACAACACCTACCAAATTTTTAATAAAAAATTATTATTAAAATAATAGTTCTTTATTTGACTAAAATATTCTGCAAATAAATCGTTAATATTTTTTTATAAAAGTAAATGATTGTAATTCTAAAAACAGCTTCTTCAGTCTCTATTTATGTTTCCTCTTCATACAGTAAAACCGCCTTTAAGTTAGTTTGGAAAAGTCTCAATGTTTTTCTCTTATTGATGTTGAATGTAAATATATTTAATCATTTGGCCACATTTTCAAAGAAATGGCATTAAAATTATACAAATCATATGTACAATCATTTGGATTTCTTACTATTAAAGATATAGATCAGATATAAACAGTCCAAAGATGATTAACAAAATTACCTCAGGAATAAAAGAACCTGTCATATGAGAGTTGATTAAGATAGCTCAACCTCACCACGCCCAAAGATAGAATAGGTTACCAGATTAAAATATTTAAAACACTGAACAGTTATTACGCCTGCGATGCAGATATCTACCATTTAGCAACAACACACACCCTAGAGACCATAATTTAAACTACTAAAAAAATAGCCTATTAAGAAAAGTATCTAATCTAGTAAAAGGCTAGGACGGCATGTCACACGGAAAAGTGGGTCACAAAATTTGTCTGGGACGATAACTCCTAGCCATACCTAGGAAAGAAATCTGAACTACCAAATGACATTTCAATATTAATCGATCCGTTATCGTTATATATTTACGCCCGCAAAAAAACAAAAATATTGTTCATTAGAAAATTGACTCAACTTTTTTTATTACATATTTTGGGAGTACTTTCCTTTGGTTTTTTGTTATTTAAATTTCTATATTTATTTTTACTAATGTGCTTAAGTGTGTTAATTGTGATATTATATTAATATTATGTGGTAGAGTAGTTATAAAATCGCATGAACCTGACTCACTCACTTGGGATGTCAATTTACGAACGAAAAAAAAAAATAAATAAATAAAAATAAAATTCGAGATTACTGAAAACATCTAATTGTTTGCAGTGCGTTCTCACATACTTTATAATCTAAAAGCTTTATATTGAGATTAAAAGTCTTTACTTAAAGGTCATACCCACATGGAAACAGACCATGTTCGTGGTCTTATTGAACGTACTCTAAAGAAGAAACGGGCATTGATTACACCGTGGGATTGACAGCAGTTAGTAAAGACAGTTTTACATTATGCTATTTTCATGCTAGGCAAGAGCCATGCAAGACAGATCATGGAACTGCGCATGCCCACGGGCTATTTCCATGCAATACCAAATTAGAACATGTTCTATTTTTCATGCTATTTTCTTGCAATTTATTGTTAAAATTCATGTTGCCAACATAACAATTCATAATAGATTACAGAATAAAACATAACCTTATCTCTATCCAGGAGCTTAAGGAAAGTGGACTCGTTCAATCGAAGAAAGTTTTTAAAACTTTGAAGGTCTCTAGCATCCAATAACTCTTGGGGTAACTTCAAAATTTCCCAGTCCTGCATTCAACCAAGGTTTGACCCAGTATTTTCTAGGTTTTCTTTTTTTATTATTTTTCATGATTGTTGTTACAACAGCAATATTCAACAATAACAATGTTTTCTTTTCTTT